TCTTTCTGCGTGGTTGCTTGGGAGATTTTGCATCGCCGTGATGCTCTATTGAGTGAGACTGTAGCAGCGTGTGTCACACTGTTGAAGCGGGGCCAATTAGGTCGAGGGATGGGGATTGGTGTTGGTGCTGCAACAGTTTGTGTCGTCACGCCGGGCGGGTTGTAGGAGACTGTTTCTAGCTGTTGTGCTTGTCATTTGTGGGCTCTGTTTTAGCTATGTAATCTTGTTACCAATCAGACGCTCAGTGTTTAAACGGTGTTTGGATAGTTTTTGATGCAATCTAAGTTAGTTAGTTACAGACAGCAAATTATAAAATACAACACGGCAAAATTAAAAGCCACGGAAAGTTGTACATCGTCTAGTCAGCAGTGGTTTGTCAGCCCTAGTCAGGTAGTGTATCACTGATACATTTAGGAAAACTCCGCGATGCCGCTCCCATCAGGACACGGAAGCAACCAGGATGCCACAGTGCTTCAAGGCTGTTCCGTCGGTAGAAGCCTGCGGAGAGGTGGGGAGGGGAGCGGTGGGGGCCCCGGCGAAGGACGATCTCCCTTTTTCGTCTTGGACCAAACTTAATCCCCCTGTTCTAATTATTTTATGAGAGTTATCAAGGAGAGATGAAGTAGCAGGGTGAGTTTGGAAAAGTGTTTGCACCGTTGCTTAGTGCGTGAGGTCGTATGTGGTGGGGCAGGAGTGGTTGGAGACCAGAGAAAGTGCTGGTGATGGCACAATGGGACGGGTGGGGGCCGTAGGAGAGCTCGCGGTCGTCGCTGGCGCTATGTCGTAGGGGGGATTAAGATAAAGAGACATTCATGCTCTTAATACATGTGGACGAGTATATTCAGTCTTATGTGTGTTAATAGGCTTTGATTTGTGTCAGGGGTGTACGTCGAAAATTTGTGGAATTTTGTTGTTTAAAGTATTGAAACCTACACATGAATGTGTGAATAGAAGGTCCCTTGCATATATGTCGACCGTCACTTTGTTTGTCTAATGTGACAGTGGGGTTGCTTAGAATTCACTACAAAGTTAATCTTACACGCCATATAACTTGTATCATTTAGTAATATGTGTTCTTGATTGCCTTGTATGGGCCTGTCTCTCCTCAGTAACATTATCGTTAACTGAAGAGAAACGTTTTACTAGTTGTATTAGTTATTTTTTCTTCAAGCATTACAGCAGCCTCTCTAAACGTGTGTCTATCGGGGGTGAAAACGCATTAGTTTGTCTTGCATCTCTTTCTTCCGCTCACCCCCTCACCTATGCCACCCAGACGTCGCCAGTGCCCCGCCTCGGCAGCGGTGCGGCGTCCCTGCTCGTGTGTGAACCTGGCCCGCCTGACCCTGTCCCACTTCCAACTGACACGCGCTCACGGACGCGCACACGCGTGCTTCTACGCACATACTATGCTGTTCGGATGTAGTCATATTAGGCAGAAAGCGGGACTCCTTTGTATGGCTGTGATCTAGCTGGTGCCGACATACGTTTCACAGTGCATGGATTCCAATTAGCTTATGAGAGGGAAACTAACTTCCCCGGTTTATTTCCGCGCTCGGTCATCCCGAAATCCAGTCGCGGTAAGTCAGGTGTGAGAGTTCCCCAAGGACGCCCTGCACATTCTTTCGGCTGCCGTCAGTCCCTCTACCTCCTCCCTCCTACCCCGCCCCCGACAGGACCCTGCACGCTCTGACCCACATCCCGGAGGCCGCGACCCACCACTCGGCCTAGGTCCACGACGGAAAGGAGGAGCTCAACGTCCGCCATGCTGTCCTACCTCAAGTTCATTGGCTCTCTAGGTGGTACATATTAATCCGCTACAATAGACAAAGAGTTCAGAAAGAAAAGGAGGAACTGGTTGTGAAATGAAAAGCACCTTTCGTTGGAGGGAAAACTACGAGCCCAAAAAAGTTGGGGAAGAGGGCCTCCCTGCCAGGATATGGAAGACATTCGAGTAGTGCACTTTTCCCTTGTGCTTTCTTAGCATTCTGAATTATTAACCTAAATGTGGCACGCGTAGAGAGGAAGAGGATGTTAGGATATTCATTAGATTGATATAACGGCATCGAAAAAGTTTCCTGATAAGTAAAAAGGTCTTGGAAAGCGTCATCCAGGCACCGCTTCAATAATCTGTAATGTATTAGAAGAGCGAGAAAGAGAATGAGATTTGCAAAGGGGGAGGAGGTGAGTTCTCAGCCCGTGGGATGAAGGGCCGCGGAGGTTCTGTTCTGCTAATACTGTACCGCTATATGTTGACAGAGGGAGAGGAGCAGCTCAGGGTGCAATGGTTTAATCTTGCTGTCTGCCGTTAGGTTTACATTATAGTCTCTAGCTTTGTAAAATGGATTATGCTAGGGGAACTGGCTGTAGTAATGTACGAAAGTTGTATTTTTATCTGATCAGCATGTTGCGGCTTTGTGAAGAGAGACAGAAAGAGAAAGAAAGAAAGAGGGGGAAGGGAGGGATAGAGAATGAGAGAGAGGAAGGGAGAGTGAGAGAGCACGAGAACGAGAGAGGGAGACTGTAAGGTAGAGAGAGAGGGAGGGAGGTGAAGAGGTAGAGAGAAGAGAGGAGAAAAAGAGAGGGCGGGTGGGGGTCCAGACGGTGCCATCAACCGAGAGAGAAGGCAGAGGCAGGCGTGGGTGAGGTGCAGTACGATAGCTTCCATTTCCTGGCAGCGCGTGTGTTGCGTGCTTGCGACCATATGATAGTCTAGTAGCAAGGCAGCCGCTACTAGCAATATCTTCCATGCTGTGTAACCTCTGCCGACTCTCCATAGTTTTCTGCGTTATATTGTTACGTAATTCCTTAACATTAAATAGATATTTAGTCTCCATTTAATAATTACACGGAGGATCTTATTCTCCTATTGAAACTTGGTCGTATTATAACTGCAGCTCTAGGTTGGCGACTTAGAAATCTAGGTGAGATTACTTTCTCACCTTTTGTTTTATTATAATACTAGTCGATATTGTCGCATAAGCCCCCAGAAAGAGTTTGCACAGCTATTGATCGAATTAGTTAATCAGCATTACAGGTGTCGGAAGGTATTTATCCGTTTCCGTGTAATTTAATGTTAAATTGTGTTTGCGGCCTGTAAAGAATGGAAGTCCTTAAATATTCGAAGGAAAAAGTTACTTAGCAACTCGGTCAGCTGATGGCCAGGCGTACCAACCCCGGGAGCTCGGTAGCGTGGGAAAGTTACTGTTATTTAAACTAAAAAGACCATCTCTATAGATTTGTGTCATTATATTTTGAAGTACTGTTTGTTGATTATTAATGACAAATTAGGAATTTTAATTATTTAGCCGAAGAATCCGCTATCGTTAGGTTAATCAATAACGTTTATTACAATAAGAACTTATTACTACAGGTCATTTTACTTTTCTGTCTCTTCTGTTATTACCTCAGTTGGTATCAAGCTTACATTCTTTAAGAGCATTTGCCATGTATAGAAAATATTCTTATCAATTGATTGAAGTGAAGGGAAGAACCTTGCTCGTGCAGTAGTCCTTCCACGATGATCATTTCCTATTGTATTTTAACGCCCCATAAGTGTAGCACACATTTAGAACACATTTCCATCATGATAACGTACGTACATGTCGCTTCTGTCCCATACATTCGGCCGGCCGTGACGAGAGAGTCGAGGAAACTCTCTCTCTCCTGTACGACATGTTTTCCGGGACCCCACCGCGGCCGACGCATAAATCCTCGAACTGGCAACTGAGCGATAGTGGGATTTCGGGCGGATAGTCTCGGCCGAGGAGATGCTTGTCTGTGATGTAAGGGCTTTGCTCTCTCTCATATAGGACAAGGGCTGATCAGTATCGGCATTTTTTTTTATCATAAAAACGTCAAAGAAACACAGGGGAGATAGTTTCGTTTTTATACGTTCTTCAAAGTCGGGGGAATAGCTAAGCTTCGCAGAATGTATCCATTTATTTCTCGCGACTTCGTGCCTTTTTTTTTTTGAAGATGTCAGAGAGCGAGTTGCAACTTGACATCAGTTGTGCGAGACGGGACGAGGTACGAGTTTCTCGGTACGAATTTGAGAATAGGAAAATTTGTGGATGTTGCAAGTGGGCGAAAGACGGACATTCCCCGAACAAACGCAGGGTTCTAGGAAGTGCACAGTATTCCCCAATATCCTCCCGGTAGATTTCAGATGATCCTGGATGTTTCTCTGTTCCCTTTGAAATGAGAACGTTTGATATTTGAAGTTGTCGCAGTTGAGGTGAAGCACGGAAGTCCGATCGTCGGCAGCACGTGCGGCCGTCAGACCCAGCTGAGCCGACCGTAAGCCGCAAGGCCGTAGAACGCCCAAGGCAGCAAGGAGGAAGGAGTTGGGGTATATGGGAGTGGGGGGGGGGGCGAACGGATTTTCCCGCGGCAGCCCGCTAGGCCACGCCTTACAAATAACGTTTTTGGATGACCACGCACAGAGTGAGCGGAGTGGACACGCGGCGAACTGGCTTACCCGCTTCCATGGATCAGTCACGAATTGCTTTACCAGATGCGTATCCGCGTTTTAGCTCGTAGATGGCGAGTTGGTGGTAGAGGAAGGGCACGCCGGGCATACGAAGCCTCCTGGTAGTTGGAGCAGTTCTGGGGGCTAGAGTGACGTCATTGTCCCTTATTCCAAGGCAGGATGTCCGTTCCGCAGAGCGGGGCATTCCACAAACTCCCGTGTGAAAGACTTCAGTTGTTCAGCTTTTATCAGAAATCATTGATTTGTTACATTTGTATCTTGTTAGCAGTTTACAGGTGATAGGGTTATGTAAATCGCGTCTATGTAAGTGTGTGCACCTGGGAAATCACTGCAAATCGTGTGCAGTTACACTGCCGTGACGTCACTCAGTTGTTGACGTGCCCGCGTGACGCTAACGTGACGTCACTGGTTAGTAAGCTTGTCATTGGTCCAAAAGGGGAAAACACGCCTTCCCAACCCGATCGTGTCATCCACTTTCGTTTTCTACCTGCACGCTTCGTTCAGACACCGGCGAGAGCGCACGGGCAGGGTGAACGAAACTCTCAGAGAATTCCCCGCGCGAGCCTCAGGTTGCGTTTCGCAGTAAAGGCAGAAGCGTCACAGACTGGTAGCAGCTAGCTGGCCCGGGTTGTGGTGGTGCATGAGAGGCTGACTCAGATAGTCAAGCAACAAGTGTGCGTGCGGACGTGCGGCTGAGAGCTCCGTCTCGCACCTTGGAATAGTAGTGGCCTTCCGTCATCACGCGTTCGGATAGTGAGAAGTGAACACAGTCAACCGTTTCTTACGGTCTATTCATTCGCCCTTTACTCGGGGTGACATGGTTACTCTTAGACAAAGAGGTACGGAAAAGAGGCATCTGTGTTAGGTTTCTTATCGTCATTCTGGCAGTTAACGAGATCGTTATGGGCTATTCTGTTGTGGCGCGAGTCTGTGATCGGAAAGGGCCATGGTTTGGCTGATGAGTGCGAGTGAGGAACAGTGAGTGTGAAATGACACCTCATGGTTGTTAGTGTCTTCGTCATATTGTGTGATTTGCGAGTGAGGAGCGTTGTCTGTTCTCGCGGTATGAACGGGTGCATGTTCGGCCGAAAGTTGTTTAGTGATATAGTTAGTGACTGAACTGATGATAATTAGATTTATGAAATAAATGTGTGTAATGGATTTGTACTTAGTCTTTACTGCTATACAGAATAGTCTTTACTGCTATACAGAATAGTGTCGAACTTTGAAATTTTTTAAAAGTGAAATCCGCTAGAAACCATTACTGGCACTCAAATTGTTTGCATGAAAACCTAATTGTACTTCACCACTCTTACTAACTGAGTGTTTCTCTTGTTTCGCGTACAGGTGTTAGCCCGACTATGGCCATCGACGCCAGTGGAGTTTGGCCAAGCGCAGCTGGTCGTCGCGGCAGCATCACCAGCTACAAGTTCCGCGTTCGGGAGGAACGCAAGAAAGTGATCCGCATCTCGAACGCCAAGTACCGCACCATAGAGGACCACGAGAGCGGCCTGCGGAGATTCGTACTCATCAGGTGAGTCATTCGGTCGCTATTATGGTGTGCCATTCTTCATCTCAGTAATTATCAGTTTTATTGATTATCTAACACATTTCGTCCGGGTTCTTAAATTCATCCCAGTATTTATCGTGATTTTTCAAGTTTCTGGAACAGCGTGTGACCTTGTTTCCTTTGTCTCTTCCCAGGAACACTCTGAGACGCCTGCAGCGCGAGGCTCGCGAGGAGAAGTTGGCTCGTCACCGCGCTGGTGCCACGAATGTGTCGCCGTCCTACCTGTCTGCCTCTCGGCCCCGCTCCCCCTCCCCGCCCTGCGACATGCAGGTGTCTGACGTGCTCAGTGTGTACGGCCAGCCCGCCCCCACGCCCATCTCCGCCCTCGAGGAGGACGACCCGGTGCCGGCGCCCAAGAGGCCCAGACTCTTCCTCGACGACGACAAGGAGAACGAGCGTGGCTCTTGCGAGTCGCGGCTGATGGAGTGCGGAGTGGACGACAAGGACGACTCCAGGATCATTGTCGACGACACCCAGGAGATTCTGCGGGATCTGTATGAGACTTTCACGGGCGAGTCAATCAGCGCCCAACCCCGCCCCTCAACGCCCACGCCGCCTCGCCCAGACACGCCATTTGCCGCCCCTGCCTACTCATGCACCCTACCTTCCACCACCACGCCCTCCCTCACCACTACAAACAACAGTAGCAGCTCCAGTACCAATAATAACACTAGTACCTATACAAACAGCTACAGCAGCATGGGCACCGGGGGCAGCAGCTACCATGACTGGGGCAGGACACAGCAACAGCAGTATGCGTGTGGCCACGCCTCGCTCCTAGGAAACGACCTCCAGTCCGTTGTGTTCCACAGCCTCATCGCTTCGCTCGAGTCGTAACGCGCGATGTGTGCTGCTGATGAAACCCAGCAGCAGCAACAGTAGTAGCAGCAGCAGCAGTGACAGCGGAGGTGGCTCTCCCCCTCGCGCTGCCTGCAGTGCCATGCCAAAGAGGTGCAATCACTGGCGGGTGGCCCCCAGAAGCCGTGTGATTTCATCAAGTGTTCCCAGCTGTGATCTTACCATTATTAACGCGGAGCTCGGACTCGTCCAGTGCCTGAATGTTGCGTCACCCGCGAGCGCCCTCGGAAGAGGAGGCGCCTGGCGAGGTGGCCCGGTTCGTCTCGTAGTGTTTGCCGGTGCTGATGGTGACGGTGAGGAAGAGGAGGACTTGCGTCTCCAGGAAGGGCAGGCAAGACTCCATGCGGCTCCGTCGTCTGCTGCCACGCCTGAGGAGGAGGCAGGGTGGCTGGAGCAGCACCTTCGGTAGTGTAACTTTGGTGAGCCTTCTTTAATTAATTACCTGATGAGGAAGGGAGTATCCGTGGACATTGTATATTATTACAAGATCATTCACTTGCATCATTCATCCCGAGTCGTTCTCATGACATTCATTGAATGAACGAGATCAGTGATTATATATATATATATATATATATATATATATATATATATATATATATATATATAATCACACTCATACATACACACTCACGCGCATCATCATCGTCACATTCTTCCCATGGTCATATCATCGCTGTCGTTGTCTTAATCATCACCGTCAGTAGTTCATCCTCGCCACAATGACCCTCGGCAGTTTAGTCTCAACCGAATTCTTAGTTCGCCCTTCACATTTGAGGGCTTGGCCGCTTCACTCGGATCTTACAGTCGGTGGTACGCCCGATGAGAGAGAAAAATTTTAAATAAGGAAAGTCCCTCCCGAGGAAAAACCCTTGGGAGATCTTTTTTTCCCGCTGGAGACAAAGCCACCAGCCCTTTTCGACTGCGCTCAAGTGGAAGGGCTGTTCTAACTGAGAATTTGGAAATGCCTGCAAGTGCTCGCCCATACAGGCCAGAGGGAAGGAGGCAGAAAACGTAGCGGGTCCCAATGACAAAATTATGCCAAGGTTAACTTTCGAAAGGCGTCCCCCCCTACCCCCACCCACCCCCCTTTCACCGTCGGCCTACCACCCCTTATTCCAAAAAGGAACTCGAAGCAACTCCATCAGTGAAAAAATATATATATTCTAATTTAATTGACATTACAAAGATGTTGAAGCTTCGAGAGCAAAACCGCCCTTCCCCTCCCTCCCTCCCCCTGCCGCGTAACTTTCACCCCCCCCCCTCGACAGAAGCCTCTTTCCCGCACGGTCTCACGGGCGTGGCTTGCGGGCAGTCAACAGGCATTTGGTTTGTCTAGTCTTCAGTCTCTTCGTGAAGTCGTAAGTTGCTTTCTTGACGGCGGTATCCAGCAGACTTGGTTATACGGAAAAGGGGAAAAAACGTGCAAATGCGAGATTTCGAAACAAAAATGGTGATGTCAGAAATCTTCGTTTCTCGCTGTATTCACTTAAACTTTTTTTTTTTCGTCTGTCGACTTCTGTAATATATTATTTTGTCTTTCTTTGTATATATGAATGTGCATATGTATATGTAACTTAAGTAATGCTTTTTTCAGTTTCGTTTCTGATCACAATGACTTCAATTTTGTTTCTGTATTTTTGTATGTTTGTTTTTTTATCGGAAGGTTGTTTGTCCTTGTTTATCACCTGTTTGTTTTGTTTGTTGGTGCCAAGATGTAAAAGGTTATAAACGAAATGTAAAAAAAAAGCAAAAAAGAAAAATTTAAAAGATGGTGACATTTTTAGAAGCTAAACAGAGTTTGAAGGTGCTATAATTTGAGATTGTAATAGATTGTGAAAGATTAAAAAAACTCTGTTGGACAAATATATCGCTGATTAAGATGATCTCTACGTATGTTTATATGAATATAAATAATATATATATATTATAATGTATAGATTTTTATGACCCATACCAAGTCTGTGCTGTTACTAGCCCCCTCAGTTCTTACTCATACACACTACATCTTGTCTTGGCTTCGTAATTTCATTCACTCGCACACACACACATTTCTCTTCATTCAAGAAACACTGTAGATGGCGAGGGTTTCCTCATACTCGAGCAGGTTCGGCCGCAGCCAGAGCCCAGGCACCCTAGGCCTATGAGGCGACGGCGGCTGGCTCTGCGCTCAGGTTCCGAGGCTCGAGTAGCATGGACTCATTCGAGTAGTCCGAGACTCCTCCTTCCGCCTCGCCCTGGCCTTGGGTCCTCGAGCTGGAAGCGGGTCTCGGACTCCAGCCCCACCAAGCGAGTGTAATTCCGGATGAGTGCCATCAGTCACCGCATAAATAGACTTAATTTTACAATTTTGTATATTGTACAAATGTATATTGAGAATTTGTTATGATTAAGAGTTATTTGTATTTAGTTGGCTAATGAACGAGTCAAAATACCAAAATGTAGTTTGTATAAAAAAGATTCAAAGTGTGTATCAAAGTTTTGAAAACGATCATCAACGATTCCCAGACTAGACATGTATGATAATTGACCACAGTTTATTTACACATAGAAAGGTTGTACCATTTATTATTTATTCCGATGTGGATATTATTTATACATATATGATAGACACAAACAGGCGGGAAAGCGCACGTTGGGGTTGGCTGTCTGGCGCCGTCGCGAGCTGCCGGGGAGCGAGTTAGTGATATATCTTAAGACATTTCGGTCATTTTCCAAGACATTTCAGTGTTGATAATACGCCCCCAGGAAATGTAAATGTGATTTTATATGTAGCGACACAGACCTAATTACAGAGGATATTTTGTCAGCGAGGGCCAGACAGCCTCTGCCACCCGACGCGTCTTCCCGCGTGTTGCCAGCGTCACAAAGCGAGCAACTGGCGAGGTCGGAGGACGAATTCTGGAAGTGGCACTCGAGCCAGGTCACGTGTGCCAGGGTCTTGGCCCTCAGTCGAGCGGGTGTGATTTTCAGAATGAAATCCTAGCATTAATAACTCAAATAGCTGCAGTTGTTCAGTTGCCACTTATTATTTTAATTATACGAATTATTGTCTTCCGTTTATTTTCTTCAATGTCTTTACCTGTTTTAATGATAATTGCCAGTTATCATTTCCATAATCACAAATTGATTATTTTGAGTAATTAGTTTCTTGTTTACGGTTCACCGACACGTTGACAAAACTAGTGAAGGATAAGGGTAGCACAATGTAAAAAGTAACTTTTTATATGATACAGATTTGAACCGGGACTAATGTACAAAAGTCACTAAGCGACGCCCGTGACAAGAGAGAATCACCCATAAGCCATAGTGTCATTAGTGCCACTGTTGCTCATCGCACTTGTCTTAGGAAGTGGCATAGGGGGAACCAAGCTAAATCCAGATTGTGATACCGTCATTTATTATTACTGTAACCATTGATATATAATATCATCTACGAAAACTATTTTTTTTCTCTGTTATTCCAATCACAGAACACATGCGAAACCAAAAAATTGCAAGCCTTATTTCCTCCGCCTGGGATTGGTAGCCTGGTTCACTCCCGGGCCGTTGTGGGCACTGGCTGGCTTGGGGGGCGAATCCCGCAGGCGTCGCTGAGAAAGGGCGAGGGGGGGGAGGGGGAGGGGCGGCGACGGGGGACTCTCCGACGCTCGCTGTGGTCCCCCCCCCCCTCCCTCCTCCTCCTAGTGCAGTGGTGGTTGGGGAGGGGCGGGGGAGGGAGAGGTGGAGCAGGGGGGCGCGGTGCCGGCGAAGGGGTGGAGGCAGTGACAACAAGTCTGTATTTCTCCATCGCTCCCCCCACCCTTCCTCCACCGTTCTCCCCCTCCCCTTCTCCCTTCCCGTGACCCCCTCCCCCCCACCACCCACCTTAGCTGTTTATAATATCTCCCCAAACTGTGGCATAGCTAGTGATGATGCTATATAAAAGTAAACGAAGATAAAGCTATTTTGTTCCTGCCAAAACACGTAAATAAGGTGTATTATCTTGTTACATTGTATTTTGTGAATTTTTTCAAATATATGATATGAAAGATATTCTTGAGTTTTGACTTGTTTTCCCTCCTCTGGAATCCTCACCTCATTTTCTTTAACGAAAATGACTTGATAAATCTAATAAAAAATACCGAAATGATGAGAAAGCTAATAAAAGATACCTAAATGATAATAGAAATAAATGAAAAGAATGAATTACACCACAAAGCTATATGTGGAAGTAAGATACTCTAATGAATATAGAAAAAACGTAATTTAGCTGGAAATAATTACGTCATTAATACTGATGATAAAACCACCAAGCCAGACTTTTATTATGGACATCACAATAAAAAAAATGTTGCTTTGAAAACGTCCAATTGTGAGACAAACTAGAGAAAATGGAAAAATATATAAAAGATAAAACGGTGATCCCCAAAATACATAAATAAAGAAAAGGTAACAGAGAAGAAGAGAGAAAGGGAGCCAAATAAGTAAAGGAAAACAAACACAGAAAGAAGTCTAGAGAGAGAGAGTGGGTAATGGAATAAATAAAACATGGAAGATAGACACACACACACACACACACACACACACACACACACACACACACACACACACACACACACACACACACACACACACACACACACACACACACACACACACACACACACACAGAGAGGAGAGAGAAGAAAGAGAAAGGTAGATTATATACCCACGCACACATATGTGCACATATATTTGATAGATACACACACATATGCAGTGAGAGGGAGAGAGAGAAAAGAGAAAGATGGGTAGATTATACACACACACACAGTATGGGTACACACACACACGTATGTGAACACGTATATTTGATACACACACACAGTATATACATATACAGTATATATATATATATATATATATATATATATAATATTATATATATATATATATATATATATATATATACTGTGTGATAGCAGACAAAAAAATAATACATGCATATAAATCGGACAGGTTATAGGAATAGACCGCCAGCCAAACATTCACAAACCGAAATTACAGCAAACGAGAAGTGGCTCTTGTAGACGCGATTAAACACTCATACCTCGGAATGAAATATCGAAAAATATTTGAATTCAAGAAATATAATCCACTTATGTTCACCACTAAACCCTCAGGTAATTTTCTAAGCGTCTTGGCAGTTTCGGAGTGTGAGTACGGAACTGGAATCACAAACGGGGTGGATAATGGTGACTGTCTGTCTGTCTGTCTCTGTTTGTCTGTCTTTCCCCCCCTCTCTCACTTTCTTTCTTTCTCTCTCTTTCTTTCTTTCTCTCTCTTTCTTTCTCTTTCTCTTTTTCTTTCTCTCTCTCTCTCTCATTCTCTCTCTCTCTCTCTCTCTCTCTCTCTCTCTTCTCTCTCTTCTCTCTCTCTCTCTCTCTCTTCTCTCTCTCTCTCTCTCTCTCTCTCTCTCTTCCTCTCCTTCTCTCTCTCTCTCTTCTCTTCTCTCTTCTCTCCTCTCTCTCTCTCTCCTCTCTCTCTCTCTCTCTCTCTCTCTCTCTCTCTCTCTCTCTCTCTCTCTCTCTCTCTCTCTCTCTCTCTCTCTCTCTCTCTCTCTTTCTTGTTCTTGGAAACTCATTGATTATTGCTTTCTTGTTATATGCTAATTTCCCTTCTTGTGCTCTACTGAAATCATTTTCCTGCTCCTTCCTTCCTCTCACTCTTTCTTAATTTTCCTTTCATAATCTATTCCTCTCTTTATTTCGTCATGGCTCCCTTCCTCTTTATTCTATTACTTTCCGCAGCGAGATCGTGACAAATGTAAGAAAGGTAAGAATGTAAGAAAGAATGAATAACTTTTTTTTTTTTTTTTTTGTTAGCACATCGCATATTTCCTTCCGTGCCCTTCGTTGTCGTAAGAAAAAGGTTAGTTTTGCTTTGTGTTTGTTTGTACTCATGTTTATTTATTTTTATTTGTTTTATTCTTTATTTATTTATTTTTTATTATCATTTTTTTTTTTTTTTTGCTTAGTGTTTGTACTGATGTTTTTTATCTGTTTTTGTTTATCTGCTTAGTGTTTGTTTGTACCCATGTTTTTTTTTCTTAGTATTTGTTTGTACTTTTTTTTTGGCTTGGTGTTTGTTTGTACTCATGTGCATGAGTATATCTGGACGTAATGGGGTGATGTATATGAGTACATTGAGGCTTGAACAGCTGATGAAAGCGCGTGGCTCATAAGTATGCAGAGTGTGTACAATCACTTTTTGGGTGTGTACGCATGCTGATATTCAATGAATGTTTAAATGCATGTTAACAAAATATACAAGGTATACACACAGGCGTTAGAGGCCTTAAACCCTGGAAGACTATTTCGATAAATCTAAGAGTAAACACGTAAGAAGCAAATAATAATAATAATAATAATAATAATAATAATAATAATAATAATAATAATAATAATAATAATAATAGTAAAAATGATAATAATAATAATAATAAGAAGAAGAAGAAGAAGAAGAAGAAGAATCGAATTCAGATAAAATGATAAACAAGAATTAAACCAACAATAAGATGAGAAGAAATAGGCACTGGAGAAAAGTGATAATTCTCCATGTCTCTCTCTATATATGTCTCTGACTCTCTCTATCTATCTTCTCTTTGTCTGTATGTCTCTCTCTCCTCTATCTCTCTTCTCTCTCTCTCTCTCTCTCTTCTCTCTCTCTCTTCTCTCTCTCTCTCCTCCTTCTCTCTCTCTCTCTCTCTTCTCTCTCTTTTCTCTCTCTTCTCTCTCTCTCTCTTCTTCTCTCTCTCTCTCTCTCTCTCTCTTCTTCTCTCTTCTTCTTCTATCTATCTTCTCTCTCTCTCTCTCTCTCTCTCTCTCTTCTCTTCTCTCTCTCTTCTCTTCTCTTTCTCTCTCTCTCTCTCTCTCTCTCTCTCTCTCTCTCTCTCCTCTCTCTCTCTTCTCTCTCTCTCTCTCTCTCTCTCTCTCTCTCTCTCTCTCTCTCTCTCTCTCTCTCTCTCTCTCTCTCTCTCTCTCTCTCTCTCTCTCTCTCTCTCTCTCTCTCTCTTCTCTCTCTCTCTCTCTCTCTCTCTCTCTTCTCTCTCTCTCTCTCTCTCTCTCTCTCTCTCCTCTCTCTCTCTCTCTCTCTCTCCCTGCCCTTCCCCCTCCTCTCTCACTTTCCCTCTACCTTCTTTTCCTCCTCCCCTCCCCTCCCCCTCCCCTCTCCCTCCCCTTCCCTCTCCCCTCCCTCTCTCCTTCTCCTCTCCCCCTCATCCTTTCCTCCTCTCCCTATCTTTCCCTCCCTCAACGCCACCCTCCAATAGAAACACAGCATCAACGGAAGAAACCCTAGGAAAGCATTACTCGAGGTCGGGGTCACTCGCCTTACCGCTAGAACGAGGTAGAGGGATGATAATGCTGATGATAATGAGGATTTGATGATGATTGTTACTTTCGGCTTTATCATTTGATTAGTAACGATATAAATAATAATAACATTCATTATGATAATGCTATTAGATGATAATGATGATGATGATGATTATTTATATAATAATAATAAAGATAATGATAATAACATAAATATTGTTTTTGTGTATTCAGTTATGGTGATGTTAGCTATAAGAGTAATTATTGCTTGTGGTATTATTATTATTTTTGTTATTATCATCTTTATTGATATTATAATAATAATAATCATCATCATTATCATTGTTATCATCACTAATAGCATTATTATAATGAATGTTATTATTATTTATATCGTTATTATCATTTTATTGTTTTTATTGTTTATGTCATTATCACTGCTTATATTATTAGTAGTATTTATATCATTATTGTTATAGTAATATTATTTTATATTTATTAATTTTTATTATTACTATTATTATTATTATCATTATTAATATTTTTGTTATCGATACCATTAAAGTCACCCATGTTATTGCTATCATTACTATCGTCGTCATCACTGCCATCGTAATTACTACAGTGATTAACAGCAATCACATTTATAATTAAGAATGAACAGGCCGTCCAATCTTAAGAAATGGAAAACTGGCAACTCAAGCTCTGGCGTCCTCCGATTCGACAATTCGCTTTTGAGAAAAAAATAAAATAAAATAAAATAATGTCGTCTCGGAGGCAATAAATTTTAATAAAAGACAATACAAAATTCCTTCATACAAGTTTTAAACATCCAGACACACGCAAGCGCAAGCATTAAGAGTCAAATGATTAGAATAAATAAAAGCGAATTGGCGAATCGGAAACCTCGCGGGTGAAAGTTTCCAATTATGCTTTTCCTGAGGTTGTACTTTCTATTCACAACAAAACCAAAAGCCAAGAAGACTTACAGTAAGAGGGGTTGTAGATCGTGAATTAAGGTAATCTAAACATAAATAAATTAATATAAGCTGATCCGGATCATCCTTATCATGCAAGATAAATATTTAGATAAATCACTGAACGAGTAAACCAGAAGCAAACATAAATAAATAATAAGTAAAGAAATAAAATAATAATAATTATGATGATGATGATAATAATAATAATAATAATAATAATAATAATAATAATAATAATAATAATAATAATAATAATAATAATAATAATAATAATAACAATAACAATAATAATAATAATAATAATAATAATAATAATAATAATAATAATAATAACAATAATAATAATAATAACAACAACAACAACAACATTGATAAGAATAAGAATAAGAATAATAGCAATAATAACAATAATAATAATAACAACATCAACAACAACAACAAAACAACAACAACAACAATCATAATAATAAACACGTAGATTCATCATACAAATGGAGCTGTTACATTAACAATAACAACACATTAACTCATTCTCTGGCAGCGAAGACATTGTAAAAGGTACGTTAATTAAGGTCATTATCCAAGGTCAGAGCACAGGTAAACGGAAGAATTGCGTGTTAATATTAATCGTTTTAGATAACAACGGTAATGGTGATAAGTGATGCAGGAATAACGTGAGTGATAATTAAGGTGATACTGTATGTACGGACAACAATAA